GGAGGCACTCGAGAATTGGATGCGCATAAAGTTAACCCATTCGCGCCGGGTAAAAATGAACAAAAATGGGGAAAATGCTGTGCTCATTTTTTATATTTTTTAATGAAATTTCTCTACACTAGATGGCTCTGCCCTACCTGATTTCACCTTTACTTGAATTGGCGGGAAAATGTATTTTTACTAATGCTATGAATATCGATGGTTATTTTTATTATAAACATTATAATTACTATAATGGTATAAACATTAGCAACAGCAAAATAAGATAACGCAAAATCATTTCGTAAATTAAAGAAAAGGGTAAACAGGCGAGACAAGTAGTACAAATACAAGTGGAGCCATCTATGCGTGAAAACAATTAAACATCGTGAATGGGTTAATGAAGGAGGAAGACGAGTCGTCAGATTCGGCCTATAACATGGCTCAAATTGGTATCCTTTCACCAATTCTCCTCCTACTTCTAGCTCCCTATCTTCTAGTTCATCATCAGTAAGATCTGTAGGCACAGAATCAATAGATCTTTCACTTTTAACTTCACTGGAACTGCTGTAATCTTGTTGCTCGCCATGTTGTTGGACAATGGCTATACATGGTATGACGTCATGCGACGTGGTGGCGCCACTGGTCGTTTTTGAGGCACACGAATTTTGTGGGCTTACAAAATCATGTTTATTTTTATTATCCGGGTCTAAATTTTCAATTTGATTTTATTAATGGATAAATATTATCCTAGGCCGACTGTGGATGCAAAATAGTGCACCAGTTCTAGGCTATCCCTTTAAGTTAAATTTAGGTGCTGAAGGCCTTCTCACTGTGTCGCATGAATATTCAATCAAAATAGGAAGATGATCGCTTCCGAACGAGTCTGGTGTGCCATAAGCACTTGGCTGCTATTGATGAAGAGACCAGTGATAAGTCAATAAAACACAAATTACCGGTATTATCGTCCACCCGCGTTGGATTACCATCGTTCAAAAGGACTAATTCAGAGCAAAAAGCTCATCATAGATTATCACTGTATCAGGTGGACAATAAACATATAGCCAGATATGTGCCATTAATTTTTACTTTGCATGCGACAAATTCCAAATTAGTTTAATAAAACCATTTTCCTCTTGTTTCATTTATTGATGATCAAACTTACAAATGTAACTAAAATATGTGAATTTAAGAGGAAAAAATGAATTACTACCAATAACTAAAAAATACAAAATACAATATTAAAAAATATATATAGAAATTAGAGCTATAATAAAATAGAATAAAAACTTGACGATAAACAATACATTACAAAACCTATAATAAACATTAAACTATAGATTTAACAATAACTTTATAATACCAGTGAGCAAAAAGCACATTTCAATAATATGACTAACAAATAAAATATAAAATCAATGTAGCTTTCTGCCTACATTTCTCCTGCCGCAGTATCTGGAACAAAAAATAACTTTTACACACAGGAAAATAAATTAAGAAATTTTACTGTAAGGAGGGGATTTATTTTAATCACAAGGACAAGCAGATTTAGCATTCTTGAAACTTGTTTCACTGCACATTGTACTAGTTGCTGCTGATTGTTCTTACCAGTATAATTTTCTCATAGAAATACCAATATTCTTCAGATATGCAAATAACTAAATATTTGTCTGATTTTATTTACATCACATGAACAACAAAGGGACACCAGCAAAATCGTGCACAAAAGATGGAAAACTAATGTTATTTAACACTAAGCTCTTGTTAGTACCCTAAAGTTAATGCCAAGCGATGGTCTGCAGGAATTACCTTTTTCAGTTGAGTATCCTTCTTCTCAATGTGAGGTTTCAAAAGATGCAACTAGTCATAATAAAATCACCTCCATGTTCGAAATTTGTAAAACCCGCGAACGTCCTCCAGTGCCTGTATCTTCACAAGCATATTTATGGCACTCTGGTCTTTTCTTTTTTCCATGCCTTACCGCAAGATCACTTTGGTATTCTTTCACATTCTTCACAAAGTTAAAAGCCCTCCCAGCCGTCAATGTCAGAATTGTTGGCATCTAGCCAAACGCTGCCGCTCCAGAGCCCAACGCCCTTTGTATGCCCAACCTGGTCATAGTCGATCAAACTGTTCTGAACAATCACACACATGTGTTAATTGTGGTGGCTCCCATAAAGTATTTATAGGGGCTGACCTCCCTACAAGTTTGAGTCTGAGGCGGCAATCCTCAGATTCAATCTTGGCCTCGCTGTACGTGAGGCCTCACAGGAAGCACACAGTCAAGGTTTTTCTCTTACTCTCTTCTTCAGAATTGCCTTTCACTCCGCCCTTTCCCCTCCCTCCCAAGACGTTTCTACACCCCCCCCCATATCTTCTAATCCCACTTCTACCCCTTCCCTTTCCCAGTTAAATTCTTTTGCCATTCTAAATCCAGACACTCCAATCTCAACTTCCCTTCCACCTCCTCCCTTAACTCATGCACAAAACAAACTAAACGCTCTACCCCATCTTCTACTCCAGCCTCTCCTCCATCAACCTCTCCCTCCGCCCCCGCAAACGTCTCTCTGCTCCCATTCCTCTACACTCAAAGTAACTGCCAACATCCATCCTCCTCTTATTCATGTTCTGCCTACACCCCTTCCTCCCACTCCCTCTCAACACATCCCATTCCCCCCCTGCTGTAGATACATCACCCCTCTTCCTTCCCCATTATCCCTTCTGCTTCGCCCTGGACACACATGCCTCACAAAAACCCCCTTCCCTAGATTCTCTACCTCCTGTCATTTTCCTGAAACTGTGATTTAATCACCCTTAAACCCCCTTCCTCTTTTTGCTAACCCCTACCTTAACCAGTAATCATTTCCCCTATACCAACTAGCCTCCCCAAATCTAACTTCTCTGGCTTACCGACCCCTGATTCTCCCTTGATCACTGCTACTACCCCCCCTTCTCGAAACTTGCTGTCAACTTGACCCACCCTGAATCATCGACCAAGGTTATAACTCTCCCAATATCCTCCACCCATCTCCTGCACAATCTTCTTTTCTATCTCCCCCTCCCTTATTACAACTCTTCAATCCTATTGCCCTCCACCCATTCTCTCTTCTTCCCATCCTCGTACTTCTACAATTCCCAGCCTTTTAACAATTTTTTTGTGACTTCCCCTCCAGTCCCTTACTCTGACAATACCCTCCTCTTCCAGCAATGTCTCCAAAATCAAGGAGGCAAAGCTTCCTTCCGCAGCCGTCCCGATCGTTCACTCCATGTTACATCTAAGCTCCAAGCTCGTGCATTATCTACCTTGGGTGACCTCACTGGTAAACCTATTCCCAACCTCACTCTTCCCTTAATGCTTGTAACGGAACTGTTTCCATTTTCCCGGCTCATTGCCTTTTCTACAACAAGGATTGGTCAAACTGTGAAAACGACCTGTTCGACCTGCCTTGTAGACTATGATGCATTATCAGTACAATGCTACATTATCCCCCCATAGTGGCCGCCTTAAGTCCTACAACAGTATTGCTGGAGAATCTTGCCCTAGCCGACCATGTCAACCCCTACCCCATCAGTAGGGGTTGACAGAACAGACGCTGGGAAACTGCTTTTGCCCAACTACGTATTGGCCAAACTCGCCTCACATTCCTCTCTCATGCCACAATCTGATCCAAATCTGTGCTCCTCTTGCAATGTTCCTCTTTCATTTCCACACTGCTAACATTTCCCCACTTTGCATAAGCCCATAAGCCCAGCTTTTCCTTACTTATTCTCACTTGCCTGACCCCCAGCCTGTTGGATATCTTCTCGGAATCCCCTACCTTTTCCTTTGAAAACATGCTCTCCTTCGCCAGACGCATAAATATCCTCCATTTGATCTAATTGCCCATCAAACTTAACTCCTTCCCCTTTTAACAACCCTTGCCTTATACTTTATACCCCATCAGCTCCCCTCTCTACCCCTTTTCACTACCATACTATCCTATTGTGCTGTTCAGCCTCTGACTTCTAACACACTGTACCCTAGTCATCAATTTCCTACCCTCTTCGCCGCAATATTTTATCACTACACTGTCCTCACTTTCCTCGCGTATCTCTTAGCTCTTTTTTGTTGGTCATTTTGTTCTTGTTGTCCTCTTATGGCTTTGTTTGTGCGCGATTTTAAAAACAAACAAAATCCATGAGTTTAACTAGTTCATATCTAGCAATTTAATGAAAATATTTATGTAAATAAGTAGATTTTAACAACTCAAACAAATGGAAATCATACCTCTCAGTCAAGTTTCGGAAGGCGATTCGCGTAAACTGAACAAATGAGTGTCTGCTCGTCAAGAACAGTCCCGAATGGTTTCTGCTTACTGTGCTTCATCCTATTTTCAGATTTTAACTGAATAATGATACGGTCACCATTGCTGTCAGGAATATGGATCTGTTTTCTAGGGAATATCCAGGTGGTAGCCCCAGGGGATTTGTGCCACCCCATGAATCTGGTCGCTAGGTATTTTAAGTAATTCAGCTCGCTCTTCCGACTGTCAGCATGGAGAGAAGAGCCATCTGACTTTGGCCAGGATGGCTCAGATAATACACTTACTTCTGCGGTGGAGCAGCATAGATTTACATTATTGATTTCCATTTTTTGCACCTCCTCTACTTTCTAATATTAGTGTTCCAACTCAGTTGATATTTTAGAATATTTCCATATGCAATATAGTAGTTTCCTTTACATAATTATATTTATTTTAGATAATGTGATATATATGATTCCCAGGACCTCACTCGGATCGCGCCATGTTCTTTAGATGGGCACTGCTATTTGAATGCGGAAAGCTCATACGGAAACGCAAAAGTTGAACGAAAAAGTGCTAGTGTTATAGGGACTTCGTTAGAATTTGGGCTGAATGACGTTGGAATGTGGCATACCGGGGCTTCTCTAAACAAGCGCGCGCACGCTCGCAAGCTAAAGGCTGCTGATTTGAGAATTTGTGAAATTCCTTTGGTGGTGAATACTGAATTAAAACACAGCATTAAAAAAACAACTTTATTATCATATCACAATCGGGATTTCTTTAGGTATAAAATAACTTGTGACCCTTAAACAATTACAGAAAAAATGATAAGATAATATAAAATAATTCTGTTTTCTACACTTTATCCTTCACAACAGATTCCATCCTCAACATTAGGGGTTTCGTTCTAAACAGATGTCTTAATAATAGTAAATTATTGTGCCTGTTAGATACAGTTGAGTAAATGATGAAGACAAGCAGCCTGTCTCATGCACTGTCTACAGAGCTGGCGGGCAATGCCCCTAAGCCACCTGGACGCCCTGGCCGGCGGCAGCGGAAGGTCCTGTGCGGGGGGCGCCGGCGCCTTCCCTGTAGAAAAGCTCGCCCGAGTCGTTGATGTAGTAGTTGTTCCCACCGAGTGCGGTGGCCCTCGCGAGGTTGGTCCTGAAGCGTAACTCGTCGGAGGCGTCGACGTAACCGGAATTCAACATGTGGCTGAGGGTTTGGACGCGGGCGGAGCGCGTGCGGCCGCTCTGAGGGAAGCAGAGGCGGATCAGCCGAGATACACGAGGTCTACTCAAAGGTATCAGGGCTCCTTGAGCTGTTCTGACATTATTTCCAACTGTGACATGGCATAAAGATGTGAGACTTATTTAGGGCAAGATCGCAAGCGTAATACTGGAGATACTTACCTGAGCTAGCTGTGCCCAAACACAAGTAACTGAGCGAACAGTAAAACCCAGTTGACAGGCTTAGATGGCATTATGCAGCCGAAAAAGTACTAGAAACTACGTATTTTGCAATGATAGAACCGAATATCGTCAAACTAAGGGTGGCAAAAAATAACTACTTTTTAAGATTCAGCCGGCAGTGAGAGCAAAGGGAACATGAGGTAATAGATTTGTTGGCTGTAGCTGGGAGGTCGAAGTAGCATACATTAAGATTAGAATCACCAACTCACCAAATCACCAAGTTCTCCGGCATGAAACATGACTTCCTCGGAGCTATCAAGACCTATGGCGTAAGGGAAGTTCTGCAGTTGGTTATTTGTCGCAGACTTTACACTTACCGGTCCGCCAGCAGCTCCCACGTTGACCAGGTCACCTGTGGAAGAACGGGTAGAAAATGGAAGATCCAGCTCTTTGCAAACCGAAAAGAATCTAACGGTTTTAAAATTGCTCTGAAACCATCCAACCATCCAGATTGCCAAGAGCGCCCATACATATACAATATTTCTCTGATCTTTCATAAATTACATAATCACCATACCTGGTGCAAATGGCAATCTAGATGAACGGTGTTACTCAAAGCTCGAGGCTTGGCATATTAACCTCTAGACACAAGTCATTGTGTGTAGTGATTAGCGACACATTGGTAAAGGAATTCAGAGGCTAAATCTGAGTGGTATTAGATGATATTTACAAAGATATAAGTGTACAATAAAAGTGAAAACGAACTGTCACTTAGAGAGATTGTTTAAACAGTAAAGCCATGATATTTGGGAAACGAGACAAGGAACTAAGGCAGTAAATACAAACTCAGAAACACAGAAAGTGTCCTCACCGACATTCCGAACGTACTCCAGTGACGTGTCGCGGACACCATACTCGAAGGAGTTGCTGCAGAAGAGAAGGTCAGGGGTCAGGGGTCAGGGCAGACGCTGGGCGTAAGGGCAACGTTCCTGTACGCTTCATGAATATTCGCACGTTAAAGGAATATGAATGGCGTGCACTCAAGCACACACATAAGTGTTGATATGTACATATATACACTGTAGATACATATATATGCACAGAAACTGGCCATTTTT